TGTGCCGGACGGCTGTGCTGTCTTGAATGACACGTGTCAGTGCTCCCTTTTTTTTTTTTTTTTTTTTTTTACGTGTCAGTGCTCCCTACTTTGTTCCGACGGTCATTCCTTTTTTTTATTATTTTTTTGGTTGTTGTTGTTGGTTCAAGTCCAGACAACCAATTCTTCCCAGGGGTCTGGTCCCACCTACGGCCGTTGAGTTGAGAAACCTCAACGGTGTGACACCATTTACCGCATTTTTTAAATCCGAAAAATGCATTTCAGATTTATTCGTAGCAGTTTTTATTCATTTTAAGAAAATGATGCGAAAAAAATAGTGGTTTCTGTCGAGGATTCTGCGTATCTTGAAGTACCATATGGGCCTCGCTGCACTACTCTCGAAATGTGCAAAACGAGAGTGAATCTTTGCCTAGAGTATGGAAAGATGCACTGCCATGATTTTTGTCTTTTGTGCATGKCGAGAGTWGTGCAGCGAGGCCCCATGATGTGGAAACACGAGGACGTGGAAGTGGGTCCAAAGAGCAATGAATATAGGCAAGAACACGGAAACATACATCGACTTTCTTTTTTCTTTTGTTTGTGCATGTGGTGAGCAACGGAGCGAGGCCTTATAGAGCCCACGCACGACAGTTACGGCTTTCATTGCACTGACGAAGTGCCTGACACAGTATACGAGAAACGGGGAACAGCAGAGGGCGACTAAAAACCCCAAAAATCGCAAAATTTCTCATCGACCATGTTGAGAAACCTACCCTCGACCGTGGAGGGTAGCTTTCTCAACTCCGTGGCGCTTGCCCATGCCGCCTTCGCTCCACTGCGGGAGTCCATTCGAAGTCCTTATGCAAAAAAAAAATTCATTCAAATCACCCGGTAGGTCATCAACATTTCGAAATACTTCCAACCGTGGGATCGCAGCCCTGTCGACGGCCACATCCTGTCGAACGTTGTCGCTCGTCGTAGAAAACTCCGCGTTGAGTTTTCTCAACAACACAGGTGGGACCAGAGCTGTGGCAATTTGCAAAATTAATCTGTGACGATAAAATGAGCAGTGTTTTTTTTTTTTTTTTTTAAATAAAAATAAAAAATTGTGACGAAGGCTGTTGCCCTTGCAAAGAAGAAGAAGAAGCTATGGAAAAGTCAAAGGGAAGAAAAAAAAAAGACAAGTGACGACTCGGACACCTGGAGGGAGAGATCCCACTCGCAAAGAGGATCGGATCGAATGTCTGAATCTGGACGTGTTCGTGGAGAGGTGCAGGAGATCAAGATTGAGCTGCTTTTCTGTATCTCCGCTTAAAACGCGCCCATATTCAGGAGGTTAATCCTATCCTCTTTGCTAGTGGGACCTCGGCCCAGGAGGGAGAGATCCCACTAGCAAAGAGGATCGGATCGAATGCCTGAATCTCGACGTAATTGTGGATAGGTGCAGGAAATCGAGTTTGAATTTTGAACTGCTTTTCTGCACCTCTGCATAAAACACGTCCAGATTCAGGAGCTTGATCCTATCCTCTGTTTCCTTGTGCGACCTCGGCCCTGGATGGAGATCCCACGACGACGGATTCGTTTGGCTCTAATGAATAGGGTGTGTGACTTCCAATCACCCCAACGGTGATCGGCCGTGTAATGTTATTTATTTATTTATTTATTTTTATTTTTATTTTTACATAAAAACAATTTGGACCGTTTCTCGATTTATGCGTGTCATATCCTTGAAAGCGCAGGGGCCATCCATGCTAATCTTCATTCTCTGTATCGTTCCAATTTTAACGGATGTCCCGTAGGACAAGTGTGGTGGTTTTTTGCATTTGAGTAGAGGGACATATATGTAATTTTCCGGCCTCCCATTGTTC